GGAGACTTTAATGATGGAACTCTGATGACCTGACTACAGGCATAAGGACGACTATGACTATGACTGCGCCATAATGGGAGAGATCGAACGACACCGGAGAGTCCCTTGTTCTTTGCCCGTTGTCCGGAAGAGTCTGTGGAGCTGGCACCCCGCCACCAAAAGCCACCACTGCATCCTACCCATGCTCGGGCCATTCACCACAAACATTTCTACCCTTTATCTTCATTGTTTGTGTGGTGTTATGTGGAAACTCACAGCAGAAACTGTTTTTGAGTGTTTTTGTTTTTCAATTTCCAGCAAGAGCCTCTGGGTCTTGGCCATTGATGGGATTACCTGGCGCTGGGCAGGCAGTTGGTGGGTGTGACCCCTGTCTACTGGAAGATGGAGGATCTGGGTGGAGGATGGTCAGCCCCGATCCGAGCAGGCTTGGAGATCTCAGCCCGATTCATTAGTCATTGTGATTAGGATGTGTTTTGGAACATTTTTTATTTGTATATATTTTAGCTGGTCCCATTCAGGGCTCCTGGATCTGGTTTCATGCACTTTTTATCTCTGGGAACTTATCAGCAATGAAGGTTTGCATTTTTGTGTCTTCATCAGGTTGTTTTTATGCCTCTATCAGATCTTGGTGATTCACATGTTGTTTCTCTTGAACGTTCATCCTAATGTTCTCTTGTCATATATTGGTTTATTTTGAGACTCTTTTTCATCTTCTGCTGTTGTCTGGAGATTTTCTGCACCTCATCTGATTCTGTACTTAAAAGCTCTTACACTGCTGCTGAGGCCTTGCACTGCCTGTTTCCTTTAATCTCCCAAGATTTTCAAACCTGCCATTTTTATTTGCATTTTCCTCGTTTCTGCTTTCATATTCTCTTGTATTTTATTGGCTGTGCATTCCATTGTGTTTTTCTTTTTAACTCCTTATGCATAAACAATTCCTCTCTAAATTCCTTATCAAATAATTTACATAGGTCATTGTTACAAGATGAGACTTAGTGAGCATCTTCACTCACTTAGCCTGGTGGGTTTCCATGTTTCTTTATCATTGTGACTGCCCCAGTTTGGAATAGTTTCTTATTTGTGATTGTGTGGTTAGGTGCCTAAAATTAGGGTGCCTTTGTATCTTTCTGGTCAGTTTTGGAGAGGTGAAGATATGTGCAATTATGAGGATTCCTGACAAATGATGAGCCAAGTTGGGATGGCTAAGGAGCCCTAACCTTCATTGTCTATTTCACAGGTGGGGTGCCATCCTTACCTGGAGAGAAAAATAGTGATCCTGTGCACAATCCAGGTCCCTTGACCAGATATCAAGTTTTGGGGGAACTTAATTGACTCTAGTTCCTATACCAAGCTGATACTTACTGGAAGAGTCCTATTCTAGGATATCTGACCATTTGAAGGGGACTAATCCCATAGTTCAATTAAAACCATTGTTCAATTCCTGGATAATAACCTTAACCTCCTTGATATTTTTCCTATATCCATTTGTATCACAGTATAATGTAGTCTACTTGTAGCATCAGTCAGCATGTTCTTAGAATTAATTCGCTACTCTTTCATTTCTCTCCTACTTGGGACAGGATATTTAATACAAAGTTTAAGGCTCTTGCCCTTGAATGTAGCCAAGCCTGGGTGGGTTCCTACAGCATTCATGATCCCTGAGCTCTGCTAAGGGTTGCTCCCAAGTACAGAGCCAGGAGTAGAGTCTGAATACCATCCATAGTGGACTAAATCTTCTCCTCATCAAAAAAAACAGTTATTCCCCTTAATAAAATCCCCAATGGCTGTCTATTGAATTAAAATAAAATTCAAACATTTGGTAAAGGTAAAGGTAAAGGTAAAGGTAAAGGTAAAGGCCCTCCCATTGATCATCGATTTGCTCGAGCGGGCCCAATAACGTCTCCATTGGAGACTTTGTTGTTACTGTGTCTGGCATATCGAATACTCTCGGTAGCTTGCCGGGCTCTCCGAGAGGGGCGGAGGAATCGAACTCGGGTCGGCCATTGTTGGCTGCGTGCAAGGCAAACGCCCTACCCGCTGTGCTATCACTCCAGCTCAGCCGGGCCAGCTGCATGCAAGGTAAATGCCCGACCTCTGTGCTATCACTCCAGACCCAATACCTATTTTTAAAAAATTGTTTCATTTTTCTTTTAGAAATATCTATTAAGAAACATGACTTGGAATATGCAGCTAGAAAGGTGCGTGCCTTGCATGTGGCTGATTGGATTCAATCCCAGATACCCAGTCATTCAATATTGATGAATGGCCAGGTGTGATCCCTGAGTATAAAGCCAGGAGTAAACCCTGAGAATTGCAGGGTGCGGCTCAAAAATCAAGAAAAAAAGAAACATGACTTGAGAGCTAAGCATGTCACTCAATACATGTCTTGCATGTGTGAGGATGTTGGTTCAATACCCATGGGTTCAATACATTACAGATATTCCCAACAATATAGGCTTAGCCTGTGTGGTCCCTAAGCGTTCCTAAGTGTGGCCATTCCCCATTCTAGCATCCATAGGTAGTCCCACACAGCAAACCCAAACAGACATACAAATTAGTAAACTCATGCCTTGAGTCATAATAAGTTATTATGAAAGGCAATTCAGAATAAAAGTTGTTGCATCTGTGCTTTCTCTATTAGTTCAGTTAATTATGGAAGCACAGATAAAGATATGTGAATTAAAACATTTCAGTATCATGTAAACAAGTGAAAGACTGACTTCCCACTTGCTAGTAACTTATATTTCAGTAGTACCCATCTGATATGTCCTACCTTTCTTAAATGTTGCTTAGCAATAAGAAAAATTATGATACTTCTCATTGCTAGACTGATGTTTTATAACTCAGTCAGAGATAGGTAATAATTATTAATAAAGAGGCCAAGAGCCATGAGGCTTATGGGAAGCATTCCTGAGTTGGACCCAAAGATTGTTACAAAAAGTAAAGAGCTTTCAAATTCCAGATGCTCCAAAGATCCATTCTCTAGATTAACTGTTATCTTACATTAACGTTCATAGATCTGGAGCATGGGACATACTTGGCCTTCTTGTACATCATCTCACTATTAAAGTAAATGAGGTAGATTTTATGGAGGTAATAGTAGCTTTTAAAAAAATTTATTAGTGAAACACCATGAGGTACAGTTGTAGACTTACAAATTTTTGTGCTTAAGACAGGTCATAGAGCACAAAGTCCTTAAGAGGTCCTATTTACATGTCAAAAAGATTGGATGATAAATCTATTGCCTTTTTTGGCCTGTTTCCTCATCTGTGAAATAGGATTTTGTTAAGGCTTAAATGACTGTTTTTCAGATTATTGTGAAAATAGAGCTCTAAAACAATTAATCCATTTAACTCAAATAGATAAAAACTACATCTAGTTCATTACTAGACACATGAACAGAATATGAGGTAAAGATTTTAAGAAGTGGATGGTGGCAAAGAATCAATAGGTTTATGGAATAAATAGTTTTATTTTGGAAAAAGAGACAGCAGAAAGAGACAGACAGAAGAAGGCAGATTGGCTTTAAAATTTCAAAACACAGTACCCAAAAGAAGAGAGAGAGAACAAGGGGGAATACCCTGCCACAGCGGCAGGATGGGACGGGGGGGGAGTGGAATGAGGGGGGGGATGCTGGGAACCGTGGGGATGGATGACGGGCACTGGTGGAGGGATGGGCACTTGATCATTGTATAACTGAAACCCAAGCACAAAATTTGTAAGCCTATAACTGTACCTCATGGTTTTTCACTAATAAAAAAAGAAAAAAAAAGTAAGGAAAAAAAATTTCAAAAACCATCCATAAAGTCATATCTGTTATCTCTGAGTAACCTTTTGGACTAACGGTTTGGCTTCCTCTAGAATCACTTCCAAAGGGGTTTCCCTGTACTTCACCAGGTGTGACCCGAAAAGCAAAAAAGAAAAAAAGATAAAAAGTAGAATCTCCTCCATAATATCACCAGAACTCATGCTTTGAAACATAAAATAGCTTGGCATTATTTAACACACAGTAAGCACTTAATAAGTGTATTGGATGAATCTCTGCCTATAGTATTAAGTTCATTTCTCTTCACAGTTTGGCTTCGACTTACCTTTTCTAGATACACCTCCTGTTTTTCTTATCAATCTCCACAGTCTATAAATGAACCTTATGCTCCAGATAGCTTGTACTGTCCTTTCATATGTTTTGTCCTGTACTGGAGAGTCCATACAACCCAAAGGACTGAAAAATTCCCATCCACCTTTTAGACCCATTACTGTGTTCCCTTTCAGGCTATACCTTATTCATTTCTATATTATGAATGTTTACAGAACAATAAATAGTGGGTTACCTTTTAATCTCTTTTCTTCCACAAATGAAAGTATTTGCTTTTTGTTGTCTTTGCCTCACTTCGTGGTTCAGTATCAACTTAGTTGACTGATAAAATCTGAGCTTAGAACTGTTTGTAGAATGGCTAACGGGCTGCAAGGAAGGAGGTCATTGCCACCTCCCACAATGTATCAGATTTTATTCCCTCCCCCCTCTTCTCTAACCCTACCCAACATCTATCTGAATTTCAAAGCTACTAGACTCCAGGACCATTTAACATCTCAAAAGCAAATTCCAGGATAGAGTTTTACTCCAGCATCTAGGTTTCCACTAACTAGTTACCCTTGTTAACCTTGTGGCATGGGTAGTTTTGCGAACTTTCCCTCTCCAAGCCTGTGAATATGGCGCTTATGTCTCCTTCTGGAGTATTCCCACACACTGTTTTTGTGCACACATGTGAGAGGAAAATGGTCATTCCCTTGCACTTGTTACAATCTTTAGCCAAATTATTTGGAACCAAATGAGTTAAAACGCGGTTGCAGGAAGAGAAATAAGCATGTCTTGCTTGGCCTTCTGGGAGTTGTAGTCCTTCTAGTCTCGGGACTGCCTAGCTAGCCAAGTAGCGGTGGACTACAGTTCCCAAGCCTTGCCAGGGACTCTACGCACAGGCTCAGACACCCATGCTGGAGGAGGTGGCTACATTGTGTCTATTGTATCCCTGGGCTTGCGTATTAGTGCTTTTCTCCGGACCTGAAATTCATTAGCGAAAGCCATGGCCGATGAGCAAGAAATCATGTGCAAATTGGAAAGCATTAAAGAAATCAGGTAAGTGGAATATTGCAATCTCCCTGGGAGCGATTGTCCTCTGTGCGCTCCTCCGCTCCGCGCTCCTCCCTGTTGCCAAATCAGTTGCAGTGGGAGAGGGTGGGCAGAGTTAACTATGGGAAAGTACCTATTGTTGGAACACTTGCGAAGTGGGGGGCGGGGAAAGGGTCCATTCACTGCGGAATTCCAGGGTGGGAGAAAAGCAGCTTGGGGTCAGAATTTCGACTAGTAAAGAGAGAGGAATTGTGGAATTGTCAGATTGACATAGAGATCGTATTTCTGATGCTGCGAAAACCTGAGACACACGGGGATTGCTGGAGGAGGGAATATGGAGAGTGCTGGTTCCAAAGCAACGTCATTCTTTGTGTGCAAGTTAAGAAACGATATTCTTGGACCCATTATTTTTTAGATGCCTCTTGACTTTAAGTGTACTTCTATTATTGCTACTTAAAAACTAGGTTATTTTTTCAATTTTCCATTCAGCGGATAGGTCGGGTGTCTCAGAGCTGGAGGCTGTTGCTAAACTGCTGAAGGGTGGGGAATTGTGTGGAGAAATACCATATTTCCTTAGTATTTTTTGTTTTATCTCACTTTATTCCTCTCCTCCCGGGTGTTCTTGGAAGGAGTATTGGATCACTGGAGACTGGGGAGGTATTCATCAAACCTATAGTGGAATCCTTACACAGCCCCACCTACAGCTCTGAGACCAAGGAGGTGAAGAGCAAGCAAACAAGGAGGGAGTTGCCCCAACTCTGGCATCTTATGTTAAGTAGCTGCTTGGGTTATATGATGTAGGCCTTGCTCAAAACACAAAAGTGGGGCAAATGAACTGTGTAGACAACACTGGACTTTTTTTACGTCTTTGAGAGCTCCATCTCCTGGATTCCATCCTCATTTTGTTGGTGGTCTAGGTCAAGCTCTCTACCTATATTGTTTTTCAGGGAAAAAAGTTTTTTTTTTTTTTCAAAATAAAGTGTGTCTCTTTAAGAAATAAAACCTTGAGGGTTCAAGAAATGGTAACTGGTAAGGTGTTTGTTTGACTTGGTGCTGTTTCCCTGAGAAAAGACAGGTATGGCCCCCAAAACAAAGAGAGACAGAAAGAGAGAGACAGAGAGAGAGAAGAGCGCGTGCGAGAGAGAAAGAGAACTTTGACCAATGATGGGCAGAGCAATAGTATAGAGAGCAGGTGCTTGCTTGCCTTTCATGCAGCCTACCCGTGTTTGATCCTGGCACCCCATCCTGGAGCCCTTCAGGAGTGATCATTGAGCTCAGAGCCAGAAGTAAGCAGGTGAAGTCCCAAAACAAAACAAAACAAATTTGTTCAACCTATTTAACCCTTGTTCTGTGCTTGGGTTAGACATACACTTGGTGGTGATAAAAAATCACTTTGATTTTTTTCTCACTTAGAGACATTGCATTTCATGGATAGTGGGGGTAAAAGAAAAGGGATTATTATATTATTTATTGGGATTCCTGTATGCCAAGCACTTGGACCTACTTTTATTCATTACAGCAGGAGTGTTGAGTTTCCTATACCTCCTTTACAACGGGGAAAATGATGACTCAGAGGGTCAGAATATTTAAGTGGTTTTTCTAGAAACAAGCAACTTAAAAACTCCAGATTTTGACAGGAATTCAAGCAGCCAGCATTCAGATTTTTCCTCTTCACGCTCTGAAAAAAGCTAAGTAGTTAAGAAATGAGATACTTTTGTTTTATGAAAAAGTTAATTGTAATAACAATGAAGTTAATAAGAAGCTTAGATCTGCAAATGGACAGACTTTGATTTTTTTTCAAAATGTAAAGGAACTCTAGCCCTACCACCGGAAAAAATAGAACAGTTGAGAATGAGGACAAGTGAACCCTCCCAGTAGATGACATCAGGAAAGCCATTATAGCTACGTTCACCAATGGTAAATCAGACATTTCTACCTCTACTAGTAGTTTTGGTTAAAATGGAGGCTGAGGGGCAGGAGAAACAATATTGGAGGTAAGGCACTTGCCTTGCCTGTGGCTAACCCTGGTTCAAATCCTCATACCGCATGTGGTTCCCCAAGCACAACAACCAAGAATCACTCCTGAGCCCAGAACCAGAGAAAGACCAGGTATGGACCAAAATCAAAAAAAAAAAAAAAGAAAAAAAAAGAAAGGCAACTGAATTTCTACCCCAAACAGAAGAAGCAATGAGTTTTTTGACATGTCAGCCATCCAGAGACCAGTGAAGAACCTGGACTTTTGTTGTTCCCCTTTCCTGAAAAGAAATATGTCAAAGGAAAGCTACCACAAACGTATTCATTTTTAAGATATTTGGGCCACACCTGGTGGTGCTCAGGCCGTACTCCTGTCTCTATACTTAGAATTTAGTCATGGCAGGTTAGGGGGACCATAAGAAGTTCAAGAGATCATACCCTGGTCAGTGACATGCAAAACAAGCAGTCTACCCATTGTACTATCACTCCAAACCCTGCAAAAACAAGAAATAAAATATATCTAGATATAGAAATAATGTTTAAAATTTACTTGATATACCCAAGTACCAGCTTAAAGAACAATAGAAAGTGAAAAGAGGCTATCAGTGAGATGATGCAATGTTAGAATTATAAGGATTTTAATGCAGCTATCAGAATAATGTTTCTATCAAAGAAACACACAAAATAATATCTCATAATATACATAGAAAGTGCCCACAAGGAATTATAGAACCAAAAGACTTAAATGGAAATTTGAAAGATTAAAAATATAGTCACGAAAAGAATCTTAAAAATTAGTGTATGGAATTAACAACAAGTTGGAGGAAACCGTGAAAAGACTCAACTTGAACACAAACTGCATGTCTGAACCAACAGATGGAAAATTAAATTAGTAAAGAAAGAAAGGTAGGAAAATAGGAAGGAGGAGTTGAATAGAGCCTGTGTTACAATAACAAATAATCTAATAGCAACAGAATCTCAAAAAGACAGACGAAGAGGGCAGAGCTAAATAGTACTTAAAGTAATAACTAAAATATTCTACACTGAGCAAAGAACATAAATCTTCAGATTCAAGAAAGTAAACAAGTACCCTTCCAAGAGATTAATAGAGAGTATGTAATAGTCAACCTTCTGAAAACAAAAGGTGAAGAAAAGATCTAGAAGGCAACCAGAAAGAAACATTTTACTTGTACCTTCAGGGAGAAAATAGAGTGACAGCATATTTTTCATTAAAAAAATTGACAAGGCCCTAGAGGAGAATGGTACATTTTTTTTTCAGATGCTGGAGTAAAAGAATCCTCATCTCAAATTCCTATGTTCAGGATTATAAAGAGATAGTAGGGCATTCTCAGATGAAAGGAAACAGGGATTCTATCAGTTACAGGTCTGACCTATAAGTGTAACTAAAGAAAGTCCCTAAACAGATAATATTAAATAGTGAACACAAAACCAAAAATATGGGTAAATACAATAATTGCACTTAGTTGGCCATTTCAGTTGTCTGACTTGTGTGTTATGGTTGAATCAAAGTTTTATCAAACCGATTGGGGATGTAGGTGGTAGAGAACTTGCACATATGAGGCCTTGAGATTCATCCCTAGCACCACAGTATTTCATAATACTCTCTCATTGAACAGAGATGACATGTTAAAGACATTTATATTATACACATGAGTGTAAAGGGATGAAAAATAGAAGTTTTCTATGTTTTATTTGAAATGATAAAAAGATGGCATCAGAACACTGAAAAACTATGTATGTATGTATATTAAAAGCAAACACTAAAAACACTACACAGAGAGATGCACATAAAACATTATAGATAAAATAGAATTAAAATAGATATGACACCCACAGAATGCAGGACATAGGAAATTGAAAACAGAGCAAACAGGTAATTACAAAAAATTCAGGGGCAGAAACAATAGTAAAGAAGGTAGGGCACTTTCCTTGCATGCAGTTGACCCAGATTTGATCCTTGGTTACACAAATTGTCCCCTGAACTCCACCAGAAGTGATACTTGAACATAGAGCCAGGAGTAAGCCCTGAGTACCTCCAGTACATGATTAAATATATATGATCCAAGTACACCAATTAAAAAGTGGGTTTAAAAGCTGTAAGACAACTATATGATGTCTAAAAGAAATGCACTCCAGAAACAATGATATGGGCCAGTAATAAAAGGATAAAAAGGACACCATGCAAATACAAATGTAAATAAAGCAGAAGTAAGCCATATTGATATAAATTAAAGCGGAATTCAGAACATAGGATATTCTGAAGGATAGAGAGTGGCATTGCATCATGTCAAAGGATAATATACCAAGAAGATATACCAATTCAAGATGTATATACACCAAAAGGTGTTTAAATACCCCTGATTTTCAAAACTGTACAGTCACATACATAGCCAAATTGCTTGGTCTAAGAATTTTTAAAAACCTCAAATATTTATTTGATATTGACCTTTGGACAGGTAAACAGATGAGAGGTGGAGAAAAACAAAAGAGCAAAATCCCTGGGAAAAGGAACTAACCTTCCAATTTCAAGTTTTTTTTGTTTTTGTTTGTTTTTGGCCACATCCGATGGTGGTCAGGACATATTCCTGGCTTTGTTCTCAGTGATCACTCTTGGCTGTGCTTGGTCGACCATATTGGGTTGAACCTGGATCATCTGCTGCAAGGCAAGCACTTTATCTGTGGTACTATTTCTCCTGCTCAGTTTCATACATATTGGATGATTTAATATTAATGTTTGTAATGAAAATCTGTGATAAGGTTTATTATCTCTGCTTTTTTGATAATAGTACTGAGTCTCAGAGAGGTTAGGCAAGATATACACAGTCATACAGTCAAGAAAGGAAGACAAGACATAGAAGGACTGCACTCATTTGTAGAGTGTAGAATAACAAAACATGATGCTGATAACCAAGGAAAGTAGATACAAGGGCCAGGAGGATTGCCCCATAGCTGGAAGGCTGTCTCATGAGCGGAGGGGAGAAGGCAGCTGGAATAGAGAAGGGATCACTAAG